GCTAAACCAAAACCAAGCTGACTTTCGGGGACAATGTTCTTCTTTTGGTAACTGAGACATTGGGGGTGGGGAAGAGACAAAAGAAGGGAGTAGGTGCTAATAATGAAAGCTACCCCTTACAGAATATTTACTGTGTGCCAGGCATTGCACTAGGTGCCAGAAACTCCATTCTTTTAACTGGATAGTGACGGTGCACAAAGGGTACCTTCATTGTTCAGTTATCAGAGAGGCCTTGGTCACGGCAGGTACTCCATCACTGAACTGAAATGTTTGCTTTCAGGTTGAAGGTCAGCATCGTGTGCTTAAGATCTACCTGCTTCTCGTCAGTATGCGCAACAGCTCAGGAAATCCCTATGAGCAGTAATACCATGGATTTAATCAATCAACTAAAAGCAAATCCCCAAACTACTTCCAGCCGGTCAGCCTGGTGGTGCAGCATAGGGCCCCATCACCGGATGTGGGATCCTGCAGGTTCAAAGAGGATGAATGGTGTTAAGTGTGTTCAGGAATTTTAAGACAATGTGAAATATTTCATTACACTCAGCACTATGTTAACTAAGCCCTTTAAATATCCGTAGACGGCACAACCTGGAAGTTATAAAGACTGATATACAGTGAATATTTTGCACATCCATATTTGCTCAACTGGTACCTCCATTTTTCAGTTACCAGAGAAGTCAGTCTTGTAACTTGCAGGTACTCAGACACCTGAAATGTTTGCATGTCGGTTGAATTCTAACAAGGTTTGCTAAGCCTGCCCAGTAAGTGGTTTGGTTTTGTTTTTCTTGATAAATGTGTCCAATTGTTCAAGAAATTTCTATGAACATTAATGCCCTGGATCTAGCCTACCAGAGAAAAACAAATCTCCTTTCTTAAACTCAGTGGATTTAAAACAATGCTCAAAATCAAGTTTTATGGCAAATTCCAATACTTTGTCTAAAACTTACCTCTTATTTTTGTCACATTAATCGTTATCTGACCTGATGACTTGGTCCCACACAAAAGCAGAAAATTGGCAAAGCAGTTTCCTTAATCATTCTTCTACTGCTTGAAGAGCACGTATGTTTATATTGGAAATGTCTGCCACATGTTTCTACCAGTTCATATGCCTGGCCCAACCCATGAGGAGATGCCTGACCTCTCCAGGTAAATACAATATGCAGGGCTGACGTATTGCTGGAGGTAAGACCCAGAGATTATTCACGAGAAGATTCAAAGGCCCCATCAGCCCAGTGCCAGGGGTATGGGATACTCACACAAAGTAAAAGACATGCTGCAACATCACTGCTAAGAGAGACGCCTCCTTGGATCCTGGAGGGACACGTTTCACCCTCCGGACTACCCCTCCAGGCCATATGCCAGGTGACACAGACGGTCCCCCTTCAAATAGAACCTGGAGCAGAAAGGGGCTCTTCGGCAAGCCCAGGCTCAGGCAAGGCAGTTCTGCTGGGGTCACATGATCCAACAGACCTGAAGCTAATGGAGGTGATGCCGCGAGTTGGTGGTGGCAAGCACGAGGGAGAGGCAGCTCTGGAAGAGGGCTGTCGTCTCTGCATCTTGAAAAATCGCTCCTGATTATGTTACAGGGCTCCGGAAGGGATCGAATGTCGACCGTGGACAGCAAGTGGTCAGGCCTCCAGGACTGCCCATCGTGACTTGCGTTTAGACCCATCAACTCATAGGATCAGGTGAGCCCAGAGATAACTTAACACAAGATGGTACATCCAGATTGAGCCCCAGCAGGACAAGAGGGCACAGGTGAGCCATGTGAGCAGGTAGCCAGACCCTTTGCCCCCCACCATGGTTGCATCAGTACCCCTCCCGCAACTTACATGAATGGCCATGTGCAGGGGAAGGGGGTGTCCCATACAACCAGTTGAAGCAGGAAGAAAGCGCCCAAACTTGATTAAGGATGGGCTGGCTCAGTGAGAAAATTCAAGCTCAAAAATGGATGGCAGCTCCGTTGTAACCACAATCAGGCATGACCTTGAAAGAGAGCGGAAAGGGGAAATCTTCCTGAATAGGCAGTGTGCCTGGTTATGTTCATGGTGGGGAAGGAAAGGTGGCCTAAGATAAAAATACATATGGACTCATATATATTGAATGATCTGGCTGGCTATTTCAGGGACCTGGATGACCAAGGAGGAGGAGGTCTGGGACGGAGGACCCTTATACGAATGGACATCAGGGTGTGGGCACAGGGTGGGAAGACCTCTGAATGCTGTGCTTAGCAGAAAGCATCCCCCTCAGAAGAGATGCCAGTCAGCCACATAGATAGGATGTCCACAGAGAGAACGACCTCATTCTTCCTGAAGATTGCATGGTCATCTATTGCCTGACTGTACCCCAGTTTATTTAACTATGCCCTAATGATGAACTGCAATTTCCAGCCTTGCTATTATAAACAATACTGCAGTAAATATCTTTGTATACAATGATCATTCCACAGATGTAAGAGTATATATGTAGCTTAAATTCCTAGAAGTGACACATCTATTAGAATGGCTAAAATCAAAACATCGACAACACCAAATGCTGACAAGGACGTGGAGCAACAGGAACTCTCATTCATTGCTGGTGGAAGTGCAAAATGGTACAGCCACTTTGGAAGGCAGTTTGGCAGTTTCTTACAAAACTAAACATACTCTTACCATATGATCCAGCAATCTTGCTCTTTTGTGTTTACCCAAAGGAACTGAAAACTATGTGTGCACAAAAACCTGCATATGGATGTTTATAGCAGCTTTATTCATAACTGCCAAAATTTGGAAGCAACTAAGATGTCCTTCACTAGGTGAGTGGATAAATAAACTGCAGTTCACCTAGACAATGGAATATGAGTCAATAATAAAAATAGATGAACTAGGGAGCCATGAAAAGACACAAGGAAACTTAAATGCATTATAAGTGAAAGAAGCTTATCTGAAAGGCTGTATACCATATGATTCCAAAATGTTATGTGGAATTCTGGAAAAGGCAAAACTATAGAGACAGCAAAAAGATCAGTGGTTGTCAGGGGTTGGTGGGGAGGGATGAACAATCAAAGCACAGGGGATTTTTAAGGCACTGAAAATACTCTCTCTGATACTATGATGCTGGATATAGCTCATTATGGATTCGTTAAAGTCCACAGAATATACACCAAGAGTGAAACCTAATGTAAACTATGGACTTGGGGTGATAATGATGTGTCAATGTAGGTTCGTCTATTGTAACAGATGTGCCACTCTGGTGAGGGATGTTGGGGCATACTGTGCATGTGTGGAAAAGACAGGTATATGGGAAATCTCTGTACTTCCCACTCAGTTTTGCTGTGAACCTAAAACTGCTCTAGAAAAATAAAGTCTATTTTTTAAAATCCTAGAGGTGATACTGCAGGACCAAAGGATATATGCATTTAAAATTTTAATACCTACAACAAGAGCTTTCCAGAAGCAATTCACATCAGCATCAGGTTTACCACATTGTGTCAGTTTCCAGTGTACAGCATACCAGTTCACTCACACATGAACATACATATATTCCTTTTCATATTCTTTTTCATTTTGGGTTACTACAAGATATTGACTATAGTTCCCTGTGCTATATACAGTATAAACTTGTTGTTTATCTATTTTATAGATCGTATTTAGTATCTGCAAACCTCAAACTCCCAACTTGTCCCTTCCCATCCCTTTCTCCCTCTGGTAACCATAAGTTTGTTTCCTATGTCTGTGCATTTGTTTTGTAAATATTCATTAGTGTTTTTTTTTATTTTAGATATATATATGATATCATGTGGTATTTTTCTTTCTCTTTCTGGCTTATTTCACTTAGAATGGTGATCTCCAGGTTCATCCATATTGCTGCAAATGGCATTATTTTATTCTTTTTATGGCTGAGTATTCCATTATATAAATATACCACAGCTTCTTTATCCAGTCATCTGTTGATGGACGTTTAGGTTGTTTCCATGTCTTGGCTGTTGTAAATAGTGATGCTATGAACATTGGGGTGCACATATTTTTTGAATTAAGGTTCCCACTGGATATATGCCCAGGAGTGGAATTGCTGGATCATATAGTAAGTCTATTTGCAGTCTTCTGAGGAATCTCTATCCTGTTTTTCATAATGGCTACACCAAACTATATTTCCACCAACAGTGTAGGAGGGTTCCCTGTCCATGTATCATGCGTGGACTTTTTGAATGATGGCCATTCTGACTGGTGTGAGGTGATACCTCATTGTAGTTTTGATCTGCATTTCTCTGATAATTAGTGATATTGAGCATTTTTTTTCATGTGCCTGTGGGCCTTTTGTATGTCTTCATCGGAGAATTGCTTTTTTTAGGTCTTCTGCCCATTTTTAGATTGGGTTGTTTGTTTTTTTCTTATTAAGTTTTATGAGCTGTTTACATATTCTGGAAATTAAGCCCTTGTCAGTCTCATCTTTTGCAAATTTTTTCTCCCATTCTGTAGGTTGTCTTTAAGTTTTGCTTATGGTTTCCTTTGCTATGCAAAAGCTTATAAGTTTAATTAGGCCCCATTTGTTTATTTTTGCTTTTATTTCCATTGCCTGGGTAGACTGCCCTAGGAGAACACTGCTAAGATTTATGTCAGAGAATGTTTTGCCTGTGTCTCCTAAGTAGGTTTATTTATTTACTCATTGAGGAGGTACTGGGGATTGAACCTAGGACTTTATGCATGCTAAGCATGCACTCTACCACTTGAGCTACACCCTCACCCCGCTCTGAGCTACACTTCATTAGAACATGCATGGTTCTTTGTGTAGCCTGAAATCCTGACAGCTGCTGAATAAACTTCTGGTAAAATAAAGTTAAGCACTGTAGCAGAAATGATATGCAAAGTGACCGTTTAGAGTAGCCTGAATAACTCAGTTGCTTCTTTGGTCAAACATGGGTAAGTGGACAAACACTGGGCAACTACTGCAGAATTACACAAGACACTGTTGTTAAGCCTGGGGATTCCTTTCCAATAGCTACCTTAGTAAAGTACCACAAATCAGCGGGGTTAAAATAAATTTATTGTCCCATGGTTCTGGAGGCTAGAAGCCTGAGATCAAGGTTTTGAGGGCCACAGTCCCTCTGAAACTTGTAGGAGAATCCTTTCCTCGCCCTTGGCAGCATCTGGTGATTTGTGGACGATCCCTGGCATTCCTTGGCTTGCAGCTGTAGAACTGCCATCTCTGCCTTTGACATCACATGGCGTTTTCCCCGTGTGTCTCTGTCTCCACGTGGCCATCTTATCAGGACAAACTGTTCCTACTCCAATATGACCTCATCTTAACTACACCTGCAATAACTCTACTTCCAAGTAAGATCCCATTCTGAAGGACTAGGGTTTAGGATTTCAGCATACCTTTTTGGGAGGGACACAACTTAACCCGTATCAACCTTTCTCTAGAATTTTTGGGAGAAGGTGAGGGAGAGAGATGGTAAAAGCCAAAGATGCTGACATCTTCTACATACATTGCATTCAGCCTGCCTAAGCCTACAGTTACAGCCTCAGCATTCTCTGTTAAGCGTGGTTACCAAAAGCTTAAATCCAGACTTCAGAGGAATTTACAAAGCACTTCTGCCCCTTTCTTGCTTTGTGCTCCACTAAACTGTATGTTCCACCTTTAGCCATCACCCTGCCACGCTACCCCTGACAGGACGAGTTGCAAAGTTTAAGTTAAGAAAAAGGAACTAAGAAGGGTTGAATGATTCCCCCATCAGATCACAGATTGCTCCGTGGGACCCCTCCGTGGTCTCCCTTTGGGAGAGGCTAGAACCCACAGGTGGAACTGTCCTTGAAGTAACCCCAACTGTTCTAAGATTTCGCTCAAAAGACGTCCTTTTTGAATTCAACGCCTGTTTGGCCACCCAATCTAGTAAGAGTCTATTCACTGAGGGCCAGATTTTACTCCTTGGTTCAGTCACACCCCCACCAAAGCCCTTTCCATCTTTCTGTGGGTAGGATTTGAACTTCTGCTTGTTGTCTCAGAGTTAATATACAGCCTTTCCTTGCTTTCCTGAGGTATTTTGTACTATTAATCCACTCACATCTAAGTGGTTGGTTTTCTTCTTTCCCAAATAGACCTTTGAGCATTTCTTGGTTCTTCCAGTGGCCAAGGAATTCTATCCTAATTTCTAAAAAGGCAGTAAGAACTTATCCTTATTTTAAAATGGGGAAAAATATATATAATTGCCTTGCATTTACTATGACCTCTCTTCCTATTGAATATATATATATAAAATAAATATAAATATATGTTTAGAGTAGGCCATGATTTTTAAATTTTTTTTTTGGTGTGATGACTATGGGAGTCCAGATGATCCTCCAGCCAATATTTATTCCCTATGCCGTTCCCCAATTTTATTTTTTTTAAGCACCATGGATATTTCCTTTAGATTCGATGCTAGTAAATAATTCTTGTCTTGTATATTATATGACAGTTGGGCGGGATTTTTTTTTTAAGCATGACAGTTTTGTCAGGGATAATTATTTTCACATTATCATCTGACTGATTCTTAGAAACGGAAGCAACACAGAGAGGGTTTTTTGTTTGTTTGTTTGTTTTTAAATCAGCTACACTTGAACTATTTATCTTTTGACTCTAGGCCCCAGAGAGTGCTGGCTGAAACACCCTGGTGGACTTCATTCTGGGGAAGGCAGAACGCAAAGGCTAGTCCTGCCTTCCCCAGCTTTGCAGCAGCAAGAGTTTTCTGGAAAGTAGAAAAGAGAAAAGAAGGGGAAGGTTAGATTTGAGTTAAAATTGTCACGTTCTCTCCAACTGGGAGAAGGTCATTCTTTGACGTGGGGTATGAGGTCCTGTATCTCTCTTGCTTTCATTAGTCACCTAACAAATCTTTCCCAGTATCAAATGCCTGCCTACTCATAAATCAGTAGAGTCAGCTTCAACGGACATCTTGCATCATGAATTTTTTTTCATTAACTTTGATTTTTTTAAAAATTTGCTTTGAAATGTATCTTGATTATTGACCTTCCCCCCAACCAGACTCCATAAATACTGCAGTTGAGGCAACTGCCTCACCCTAGTCCCAGCCTGTAAAAATATCGACAAGTCAACAAAGTTATCCATCTTTCTCAACCACTCTTAGATAAGAACCAGACTGGTGCCCTCACCATCCCCCAGCGTGCAGACGCCCCACCATGAAGTCTCTGTGTCCTCGTGGGTTTTAAGATCCTCTCCTCCGGCTTTCCCTGCACGTGGATTAAAATACATTGCGTTCTGACCAGTCTTCTCCCTCTGAGCAGCCGGAGTGCCTCGACCAGGTCCGCTTCTGCACTTCTGTTCACCGTATATCTCTTCCTCTTCTCAGAGCTATCCAAGTTTCACTCTTCGTCAACCCTGTCCTGCACAACCCCTTCCAGACCCGCGCTGACCCGCAACGGCGTCGGGTCCGGCAGCGCTCCAGCGCCCGAGCCGAGTGCTCGGCACGGGACGTGGGGTGACAGGCGCCGCCCCTGCCTGGACCGCCCGGGCAGCTCGCCGTCCGCGCGCATCCAGGAGCCGGGCATCGTGTGATCGCGTCTGCGCGCTCCGCCTTGTGCACCGGCGTGAGAAAGGGCTCCCGCCGCTCCCAGGTTCTTCCCGAGGCGCCGGGAGAGCGCGAAAATGCTCCCCGCGCGGCGGTGCGCAGGCGCAGCGGCGCGCGTCGCTTTTCTCGTTTTTCCCAGCCTCGTCCGCGGCAGCTCGGGCAGCGCGCCCGTCGCTCGGCCGCCCGGTAGGGGGCGCTGCGGGCGGGCGCCCGAGGCCGGCGCGGGCTCCTGGGGGGTGGTCTGGATC